TGAAAGGCCGAAACGTTGTAATAAATATGGCGACAAAGATGAGAATAATAGTCCGAATAATGTAAATAGTGTACATAATACCTCATCTCAGAAATATAGACAGATACTGACAGGCCGAAACGTTTTAATAAATATGGCGACAAAGATGAGAACAATAGTCCGAATAATGTAAATAGTGTACATAATACCTCATCTCAGAAATATAGACAGATACTGAAAGGCCGAAACGTTGTAATAAATATGGCGACAAACATGAGGACAATAGTCCGAATAATGTAAATAGTGTACATAATGCCTCATCTCAGAAATAGACAGATACTGAAAGGCCGAAACGTTGTAATATATATGGCGACAAAGATGAGGACAATAGTCCGAATAATGTAAATAGTGTACATAATACCTCATCTCAGAAACATAGACAGATACTGAAAGGCCGAAACGTTGTAATAAATATGGCGACAATGATGAGGACAATAGTCCGAATAATGTAAATAGTGTACATAATGCCTCATCTCAGAAATAGACAGATACTGAAAGGCCGAAACGTTGTAATAAATATGGCGACAAAGATGAGGACAATAGTCCGAATAATGTAAATAGTGTACATAATACGTCATCTCAGAAATATAGACAGATACTGAAAGGCTGAAACGTTGTAATAAATATGGCGACAAAGATGAGAACAATAGTCCGAATAATGTAAATAGTGTACATAATGCCTCATCTCAGAAATAGACAGATACGGAAAGGCCGAAACGTTGTAATAAATATGGCGACAAAGGTGAGGACAATAGTCCGAACAATGTAAATAGTGTACATAATACCTCATCTCAGAAATATAGACTGATACTGAAAGACCGAAACGTTGTAATAAATATGGCGACAAAGATGAGGACAATAGTCCGAATAATGTAAATAGTGTACATAATGCCTCATCTCAGAAATAGACAGATACTGAAAGGCCGAAACGTTGTAATAAATATGTCGACAAAGATGAGGACAATAGTACGAATAATGTAAATAGTCTACATAGTACCTCATCTCAGAAATATAGACAGATACTGAAAGGCCGAAACGTTGTAATAAATATGGCGACAAAGATGAGAACAATAGTCCGAATAATGTAAATAGTGTACATAATACCTCATCTCAGAAATATAGACAGATACTGAAAGGCGGAAACGTTGTAATAAATATGGCGACAAAGATGAGAACAATCGTCCGAATAATGTAAATAGTGTACATAATACCTCATCTCAGAAATATAGACAGATACTGAAAGGCCGAAACGTTGTAATAAATATGGCGACAAAGATGAGAACAATAGTCCGAATAATGTAAATAGTGTACATAATGCCTCATCTCAGAAATAGACAGATACTGAAAGGCCGAAACGTTGTAATAAATATGGCGACAAAGGTGAGGACAATAGTCCGAATAATGTAAATAGTGTACATAATGCCTCATCTCAGAAATAGACAGATACTGAAAGGCCGAAACGTTGTAATAAATATGGCGACAAAGATGATTTTATTTTATTGTATTTATTTTTTCTTCTCTATTTTTTTTTCTCCCCCTACTCGTCAGTGTGTTTGCCTATAGTAACAAATTTTGTCCTAATCATTCTAACCTATTTGATGGTCTAGTTAGAAATCCCGTTTCGAAAGAAAAATCAGAAAAAAGGGGAAAATTGAATGTCTTTGGCTAGATGCGAAAGTGTCTCGTCAGTATTCTCATGATTTAATGGCCGACTATTGTTGCTTGATAAATTTTCTGAACTTGGAATTGTTTTCGCCGTTCTTTCTCCTGTTGTTCTTAGTTTTATTAAAAGCATGCCTCCCAAGCCCACTATTTGGTGAGGGCGGAGGATTGGCCGTTGATAAACCCACCCCCACCCAGGTCGATGCTTTGACTTAAGGTAAGCTGTACATTCACTTGTTATCATGAGGAAGAAAGCGGACAAACACTTGTTGCCCTGTCTGAGTATAATTCTTTTTTTTTGATTTTCTTTAATTCTTTATTTTTCTTATATATATATATATATATATATATATATATATATATATATATATATATATAATAAAAAAGGCTTAAACACTAATATTCCATGGTCATAATTTATTCCATTGGAATTGTAAATACGATCCAATTCATCAGACCTACAAATTCAAAAAAAAAAAAACAACCCCGGAAATAAAAACAGAATTTAGAGAGTGTAAGTATGAGGAGGAGGAGATCAAACCTTAACAGAGAGAATTTTAGGAGAGGTGGGTGGAAGGGGTTTAAGTAAGAGAAAAATGAATGTTGTCGGATGTCTAATGCATAAAGATACATTTCGTGGTGACACACACACACACACACACACACACACACACACACACACACACATATATATATATATATATATATATATATATATATATATATATATATATACCGTATATTTCCGCCTATAAGACGAGCTTTAAATCCTGAAAATCATCTTTAAAAAAAGGGGGTCGTTTTATACTTCAATTCTAACAAAGACAATTTGGATTCTGAGTGATGTTTGGCGGTAGAGTAACTTCCGCCTCGCCGCGACAATCAATAAGGTACATGAAAATATTCACATTGCCAAATAAACTGATAAACTGATATTAAAAGTAATAAAACCATTTCTACCTAATATATTACTGGCATAATTTCATAATAAATTGCCTATTCAAAGAATAATTCCATATCAATGAATTCAACTTGTATCTATGCAAGCTCAGCTGAAAAATATCGAGTTATGATTGCGTTCACAGCAACCTTTATCTTTCGCTAAAGTTTCAAAAACCTTGGTAGTGTTTTCTACGGCTCTAATAATATTTAGGTTAACGTACTATTCAATTCTCATTAAAAATCCATTGTTGCAGATTAAGTATAAGTAAATGGCCATTAGTACACCAGGCTGTTTGAAACTGTTTAGATAAAGGAAAAGAAGTGGAAGAAGAAAAAGAATCAGTATTAGCAAGAGATCACGTGATGAAACGTAAACAAAGCAATGCTTTCTCTTTTAGGGAGCTGTGTAGGAAAACATGATCTAGAATCGGTTTTGTCATTCCATTTATTTTGAATATCAAAGCATGCAGTAAGTAACAATATTTCCAATAACATCACCTTTATATAATCAATAAGCAATGATCTTATATTGCAGGTATAGGATAAATCCATGAAACTTTGATATATTTTTTTGACCTCGTCTTATCTAAAAGTCGCCCTATTCACAAAAATAGACGGTATATATATATATATATATATATATATATATATATATATATATATATATATATATATATATATACCGTCAAAAAGCAATACATTTTAAATTCATTTTTCGTTTCGCCTTTTTGAAAGTAAAGTCTAAAGAACCAGAGAAAAATAAAATTCTCTGGTGAAATAAATTATTACAAATGGAGCCTTAAAATTGACTGTTTTTCTTTAAATTAATTCATTCGGTCTGAATTAACATGGAACTCTCAGGATTTAATTCTCCTTGGGATTATCTATACTGATTACCAAGATTTTGTCACTTATATATATATATATATATATATATATATATATATATATATATATATATACCACATAACACCCTTGAGCGCTTAGCCTTGGAGCGGGCAGAATGGAGATCAACGTGTTTTAGTGGAGTCAGCAATTTTCAATCTGCTTGTCTGAATCATCTTCAAGAAACGAGAGCAAGATCTAAAAGGTCAGCCAAGCTAACAGTGATCTCATCTCACAATTCTCACACCTGCTCCATATGTGGCCTCCTTTATAAATCACTAGTGGGTCTTAAACGTCTCTTAAGATTATCGCATAAACTTTCGTAACTGAATCAATAAGCTGGCAGATTCTTATACGTCGAAAACCGTCAGGAGAGTACATTATTATTATTATATATATATATATATATATATATATATATATATATATATATATATATATATACACACACACACACACACACACACACACACACACATATATATATATATATGTGTGTGTGTGTGTGTGTGTGTGTGTGTGCGCACGCACGTGTCTTTATTCTCCATTGACATATAATTCTTCGCCTTTGTCCAAGGCGAATTATGATTGATATTTAAGTTTGGTACAGTCAATAAGTACATTAATTGCAAACTGCATTGGAATCAATAATCTTAGAAACATTTTACACTGAACAGTGAATGAGAAAAAAAAAAAAAGACAAGAACCCCTCCCCTAACCTCCAGTATAAGATCTTTCTAAATGGTAAAAGCCTGATTAGAATTAATATTTCATGATTGGTAATTTTTTGAAAGTTTGCAGAAAGGCTAATTTTACTAATTGGAATGTCGTCTGTTTTCTTGATTTCCACATTATTAGCGAGAATAGCTGAAACTATGGCAATAGCGATCATAGATTATGCAGTCGCTACTTACTGAGTAACGTATATGATATTAGGAGTGGTTTCATTGAAGGTGGTTGAGAATAAGGTAGGAATTAATATAAGCGTTAAAAGGACAAACTAATGAAACGAGTTGATAAAAATATTCGTCTAATAATAACAAGGCACAATTTTAAAGCATTGGCAGCAAAATCTGTGAAATATCCGATTGGATAATGTTCCTGGGGTTAAAATGAATGTGGAAAACGCCTACAATAAAACAGTGATCAAATTTGAAATAATTGTGTTTCTGTCGGCTGGGGCTGCAACATCTATAAGAGGACATATCTTTTCAACATATTTCCACAATTATGTCTAGTCGATTTGTCTGGATTCCCTATCAGTTTGAATGTTGAATTTCCATAAGATACCAACTTATTATTATTATTATTATTATTATTATTATTATTATTGATGGTGATATTGCTTTATTATTGTTCATCAGTTTGACAGGTATAAGAGTAAAACCATAATAGTCACAAGATAAAGGGAAATTAATCTAATTATATTCGCGAAATGTCGTATTAATAATGGCGGACGAGTGTTGTACGGTTTATGATAAAAATATGCAAAAGCGTAATGACGATAAAATAATAATAAAAAAATGAGACAAAGGAAGAAAAGAAGGAAAGAAAGGAAGAAAGAATACGAAAAGGTTGAACAGACGAAAAAAAGAGAAAGTAAAAGAAGAGAATAAAGAATAAACCTGCATAATTGAGAAAGAAAAAGAAAATGGCGAAGAAGAAGATGAAGAAGAGGAAAAGATAATGGGGGAAAACAAATTGAAGAAGAAGGAAAAGGAGAAGTTAATGGCGAGAATATGTAGTAGTAGTAGTAGTAATAATAGTATTAATAATAATAATAATATATTCGTGAATGTAATGAAAGAAAAAATGAAGATGAAGATGAAAAAGTCGAAGATACTCGTGAATAGGAAAGGAAGCGGAAGAAGTTCATGGTAAAAATAAATGAAAGAATAAGAGACATAAAGAAGAAGAAGAAGAAGATGAAGAAGAAGAAGATGATGATGAAGAAGAAGAAGAGGAAGATGATGAAGAAGAAGAAGAGGAAGAAAAAGAAGAAGAAGATGAAGGGGAAAAAAGGAAGAAGAAGAGGAAGAATAGGAGGTGGAGGGAGAAGAAGATGAAGAAGAAGAATTAGATGATGATGATGATGATGAAGAAGAAGAACAAGAACAATAAGAGGAAGAAAAGGAAGAACAAGGAAGAGTAAGACGAAGGGGGCGGAAGGAGAAGAACAAGAACAAGATGAAGAAGAAGAAGAAGAGAAAGAAGAGCAGGAAAAGGAAGAAGAAGAAGAAGAAGAAGAAGAAGAACAACAACAACAAGAATAAGATGAAGATAAAGAAGAAAACGAAGAAAAAGAAGAAGAAAAGGAAGAAGATGAAGAGGAAGCAAAGAAGTAGAGGCACAGGAAGAAGATGAGGAGGAGGAGGAGGAGGAGGAGGAAGAACGAGAAGAACAAGAACAAGATGAAGATGATGATGATAAAGAAGAAGAAGAAGAAGAAGAAGAAGAAGAAGAAGAAGAAGGAAGAAGAAGAAGAAGAAGAAGAAGAAGAAGAGTCCTGAAAATCAATGAAAGGTTAGGATAGCGATAAAAAGAGAAGGAAGAAGATGAGAATAAATAAAACGAAGATAAAAATGTAAGGCTGAAAAAAATCGAAGAATATAATGTTGAAAAAAAAAATGGAAAAAAGAATAAGTAATAGAATGAATTAACAAATGAATGAATAATGAAAATACATGAGAGGGAAAACAATAAAGAAGGAAAAAGAGAGAAAATAATGGAAAAATAAAAAAATGAAGAAAATGGACAAAGAACAAGTTACAATACGGAAAAGTTGGCATAATGGCTGCAACAATTTGTCGGAATCATTGGTAAACCTTTCCATAATAGAAATAAATATCTGAAGAACTGAACGAAAGGAAATAAAAACAAGTAAAATCAAAGACGAAAGAATTAATTCAACATGATCGCCATCGAAAACTAACTGAACAAAATAAAGCAGATAAAGCCAGCTAATATGTGAGGCCCGTCGTGGAAAAGTCAAGCAAGTGCAGAAATTTAGCTATCGGAGGAGTACAGTAGCAGATGATGGAAAAAGGTGATACGAAAATTGTAAGGAGTAGGGCAGGGGTCAGCAAACTGTTTTTTTTTTTTTTTTCAGAGGGTCAGATAACTGAAAGAAAGACGAGCGCGGGTCGGATAACCATTTTGTTTAATACAATACACTGAATAAAAAAGAGATAAAAACAACAAATATTTATTTACCAAAAAATGTTATCAAAGAAGGCAATATTAGCAATAAAAGAGTTTTATCCATATCCAGTGCCTACATATCCGAATCTCACAAACTAACACTATTTACATTATTCGGAATATTGACCTCATCTTTGTCGCCATATTTATTACAACGTTTCGGCCGTTGGATGCTCCGGCCTTCTTCAGTATCTGTCTATATTTCTGAGATAAGATATTATGTACATTATTTACATTATTCGGAATATTGTCCTCATCTTTGTCACCATATTTATTACAAAGTTTCGGCCGTTGGATGCTCCGGCCTTCTTCAGTATCTGTCTATATTTCTGAGATAAGATATTATGTACATTATTTACATTATTCGGAATATTGTCCTCATCTTTGTCACCATATTTATTACAAGGTTTCGGCCGTTGGACGCTTCGGCCTTCTTCAGTATCTGTCTATATTTCTGAGATAAGATATTATGTACATTATTTACATCATTCGGACTATTCTCCTCATCTTTGTTGACATATTTATTACAAACTTTCGCCCTTTTAGTATCTGTTTATATTTCTGAGATGAGGTATTATGTACACTATTTACATTATTCGGACTATTGTCCTTATCTTTGATGCCATATTTATTACAAACTTTCGACCCTTTAGTATTTGTCTATATTTCTGAGATGAGGTATTATGTACGCTATTTACATTATTCGGACTATTGTCCTCATCTTTGTCGCCATATTTATTACAACATTTCGGCCTTTCAGTATCTGTCTATATTTCTGAGATGAGGTATTATGTACACTATTTACATTCAGCATTATCGCTGAAAGGCCGAAACGTTGTAATAAATATGTCGACAAAGATGAGGACTATAGTCCGAATAATGTAAATAGTGTACACTATTTACATTATATGTAAATAGTGTACATAATACCTCATCTCAGAAATATAGACAGATACTCACAAACCAAGCAGGAAAAACGGTTAATGAGATTTTTGAAACTGGCGTTTGCCTTTTAAGATATAATTAATATTTGCTTCAGAATTGCTGCATCCAAGGGAATTGCTTTTAAATATTCATCAATCAACTTACAATCGTTACATGTGCTGACTTTACATACTTTAGATTTTATAATAATTTCAAGCAAAAGATATGACATAATTCGCTGAAGTCACTTCTTTTTATGTACGGTACTCTTCAAATCGTCTTAAACACGGCAATGCATATTAAAGCTGCAACAGGCGCATTATCGCTTTTCCTAGAAACCTCATTGCAGGTACTTAATCAAAAAAAAAAAAAAGCGCTCGGCTATTAAGAGTCAGAAAAGGTTGCCGAATTTTTTTATTTCACTGATTTTCTTAAAACTTACATTGCTGTCAGATGCAAAAAACAGATTGGCTAAGTTTTGGCATTTTATTTAGATTTATTTTAATTTTTTTCTACATAGTGAGTTTAACTAAAATCTCTGGATAATTCCATATAAATAATTATATTTTAGCTCATTTCTGGCACAGTCCGGCGGCGGACGTGTGATCTGAAATCCGGCCCGCGTAGGCGTGTAGCAAAAGATTCCTTCCAGGAACTAAGCAAAAAGCTTAATTGAAAGAAAAATATACTTTTAATCAAAGAAAATGAACCGGGCTGCCGTGTAATCTCTAATTTCTTAAATGGCAGAGATTCCAAGCGACAGAGTTGCGGTTCTGCAGACCAATCCTAAGAATACAATTTACAGAACAGTAACCATGATATAGAGGAGTAATGGATAGCGGCTTGGATTGAGGAATCGGAGAGCCGAGTTCGAATTCAAGTCGAATCCATTACATTCACTTACGTGCTAATACCCTTGGGAATCCTCTTCTTCTCCCTCTAGCAGGACAGACTGGGTTCTATAACCATGGATAGTAACTGGTTTAAGAGTAAGACAACTCTGAATTCAAACCCGGAGTGCTGACCTTAAGGCGGATGGATGGCATTTTCTGCTACCCTACCTTCCAAACTGTATTGGTTTATCCACTCCTTTGGACTCTGCTAGTAAGGCTGAGTTGGGGGAACTAGACGTCCGCGCAGCCCTAGTTCATCATATATCCCGCCCAGGCTCGAGACAGACGGATGCCGGCGACGACGTACCATGATGTCTTACGAAAAATAAGGAGACAGTAGGGATTTCTGAAAGGGATACTAGACAATTTAACACACTCAAAGATAATGAAGGTAACAGAAGCAGAAGGGGAGGGCAAGCATACCAGTGAATGAAGTTTATGTGCAGAAAGATACAAACTTGGATGGTAAAGGGCGAAAGGTCAGATTAAGGAAAAGGTAGTACTGGAGAGCGATGACTGCTTGTTTTATAAAAGATACATAAAATATAAATAAAACACACTCTTTCTGTCTCCTGTCAGACTAATGCTGACCTCCAGGCGGATTTCCTCGTTTTCGCCTAGTCGGGTTAATATTCTTGGCTGATATGAAGTGGAAAGATGATATTGAATCCATTGCTAGGTCTGCTGCTAAGAAAGTCAATTCACTTTGTCGTGTTAGGTAATTTGTCTCTCCAAAATCTTTATTTAATCTTTAAGGATTCTTAGATTCTCCAGAATCTTTATCAATATATTCGTAAGACTCTTCAAAATCTTTATTAACATATTTATAAATCTAACATTCGCCCGCGCATAAATATTGTGCGAAATATAGTCCGATTCTCCTGTTACTCATCTGGAGCTAGTTGATAAAATCCATAGGAGCATCAGCAATATTATTGGTCCTGACCTGGCGTTTCGGTTTCAGTCACTTTCCCATAGCTTCCATATGCGTTTTCAATAAATACTTTCAAGGTAATTGTTAGGATAAACTCTAATACGTAGACTTAGCTACGGGATATATGCTAACTGGTCCCTATTATTTCTGTCCCTATATTCTTTAGTTTAATTCTCCGTTCCCTTTCTCGTTAGGTGGTCAGTGATGTCAGTTCTCTGGTGGATGAAGGGAGTCTTTCATTTCGGGTGTGTTTTTTGGTGTTTGAATGAGTGTGTGTTTGAGTGAGTGTATGAGATAAATGAATGTTTTATATTATTAAAGTCCCCCACTGATTTCGTTTAGTTAACTGATATTTCTGCCACATTTAAGGATTGTGGGGTTTTATTACTAACATTATTTTGTAAATAGTTTTGTTTTCATAATGTAGATACTCATTTGGGCTAAATTTTAAATTATTGTTTTATTCATCTCCCCCCACAGACAATGAATTGTACAGATGGGGACTGGGAAGGACTAGTGAAGTCTGAGGATCCAGAGAAGGATAAAATTCTCTGGTGAAATAAATTATTACAGTGAAGCCTTAAAGCGGTCTGTTTTTTTTTAATTATATATATATATATATATATATATATATATATATATATATATATATATATATATATATATATATATGATGAGCAGTACTGTGACGTGGCTTCTCTATGTCTTTTCTAGAAATACTTTCATGGTAAGTGTTCTGATGAACTTTCTGCAATGGTAGCTAGACTTTATGAATTCAAGCGCAGTACTGAATTGGCGGTAAGGTCTCATCATTTCATTTTTGAAATGGTACGTCTCGCTTCTGGGACTTCTTCCGAGTTCTTGTTACACAGTCAACTTTTATGTTCATAAATTTAAATGCAATGTCAATCGTTATCTCCTGTCTTCTTGATTCCTCTTCTTTTATTCTTCTCGCTCCTTAATAATGTTTTCTTTTTCTTAGTAACCCCTTCCGTCTTTGTGGCTTTATTAAGTGAATTTAATGTTCTAAAATATAAATGCAATGTCAATCGTTATCTACTGTCTTCTTAATTGTTGTTCTTTGATTTTCTTTTTTACTTTATATTATATTTTTATCAAATTCTTCACTATTCATTCACTCTTTGAATTGTAGCGGCTTTCTTGCGTTGTTTGGGGTGAAATGATTAAAAAAATAATCAAATGCCACCAGGTAAATTATTTTCTATATTTGTAATATTTGTAAGATTTGAGTATTAAAAGATGAAAATTCTATTGAAAATCTATCAAGTATGTGTGCTCCTAGGCTGTCTCCTGTTCTCTCCAAACCATGCGACTCTTGCCTCACTGCTTCCTGCTACTGGAAAATCCTCCCATGTAATCCCTGTTTATAAGAACTCTGAAGAACCTTTTGACTCCTCTAACTGCTGCCTTATAAGTCTCCTATCACTTTTCAGCAAAGTCTTCGAAGCTTTAATCAATGCCGAAGAGATTAAACATCGTACCTCTCACGACCTACTTTCTGATAAACAATATACCTTCCGTTTTGCCTGGTCAACTGCTGACGTACTTACGGCCATAAATGAATATATATATATAGAAAAAAACCCTAAAAAGTTGCAAATTAAAAAAATAAATAATGTTTTTTTATGAAAGTATTTATTTATATTTGATATTTCAGATCGACCTCGATCTTTCTTCAGAAATTTTTTTTATCCATGATATATATATATATATATATATATATATATATATATATATATATATATATATATATATATATTTTAAGATATGTTTATTTTATTTTATTTTTGAATCCTGTCAGAGGACGAATAGGTTCTATGAAAATTTCTCGGACATTCATACCGGTAAATGTTGTGTAATACTGTTTTATTACATACAGAGCATTTATTTAAATATTTGTATCTATCAAAAGAATGTTAAACATAAAAATGTCTTAAAATAATTCATAATATATATATATATATATATATATATATATATATATATATATATATATATATTATAACGGTAACGAACGTGCTGTGTCTCTGGATATCTTAAAGGCGTTTGACAGGGTTTGGTATTCTGATCTTCGTAAGCTTCCGGGCTATGGCATTACTGGACAATTATTAGAGTTAATCCAATTCCTATCTAATCTTGAAATGAAGGTCGTTTTGAATGGGCTCCCTTCCAGATCCAGAGGTGTCGCTCGAGGTACTATCCTGGGCCCTACACTGTTCTTGATCTTCATCAATGATCTTCCTAATATCATCAGTTACAAAGTAGGCACCTCTGTAGATGACACTACCAATTAGTCATGTCTCTATTGTAAATCCGTCAGCGCTGACAAAGTTAACCTGGCCGCTGCTCTAGAAAATGACCTTTAAACAATGGTTAACTAGAGCTGGGAATATCTTGTAAATGTCTCCAAAACTAAACTACTCTCATAGAAAAGCGTCCCTGCCCACCATCAGCATGGTTGGTGCTCATCTCCATGACAGAGTCTCACTGTACCTTCTTAGCCTCAAGTTTTCAACTGACTTGAAATGGAACAGTTACACTGAATTGATGCCTGCATCTACTACAAGGAACGTTGGTGTCGTGTCAGGAGGTCTTTTTTCCCTCAGAGTCCATCGTACACATCTACAAAATCGTCCGTGCATGGATTACTGTTGTCATATCTGGTCTGCTCGTGCTGTCAATCTCGAGGTTCTTGACAAAATCCAAAGACGGATCTGCAATGTAATCGATCCTGACTTAGCATCTCGACTTCAGTCACTTTCTCACAAAGCTGATGTGGCTTCCCTCTGTCTTTTATACAAATATTTTCATAGCAACTGCTCTGACTAGCTTTTTCCCTGATGTTTGGACGACATGAATTTAAGCTTGGCACCTAGGTCACACGCATTTATCGTTGAAAGAGTTAAAATATAACCGCTTCTACGATTCCAACAGTTTCTTTTCTTGCACTTCCCGACAGTGGAACTCCCTTCCTTTTCCTTGCTTCCGTGATAGCTACAATCTTCCTGGATTTAAATGAAACATAAAACACCATATTCTGTTGTCTTGATTCCCGTTCATCTTTTATCCTTTCCTCAATCCCCCCATATACCCAGTTTTTTCTCTCAATTTCACTCTCTGTAAACCTCTGTGTACCAGTGGCACTACCGCCTTGCTCGGGGTGAATTGCTTAAATGAAAAGAATATGAATATGCTTAAAGTTTTACTGAAATTGGTTGGATAATGAAGGAAAGTGAAAATGAAAGACAATCAAATTGAAGGTTAATGAAAAAGATGGAGAATGAAAATGAAAGAGAATGAAAATGAAGGAGACTAAAAATGAAGAAATATGAAAATGAAGGAGAATAAAAATAAAGGAGAACGAAAATCGAAGAGTATGAAAATGAAAGAGAATGAAGATGACAGAAAATAAAAAATAAAGGAGAATGAAAATGAAGTAGTTTAAAAAATGAAGAAATATGAAAATCAATTAGAATGAAATCAAAGAGAGTAAAAATGAAGAGGCATAAAAATGAAGGATAGAGAAAAATGAAAGAAAATGAAAAGAAAGATGTATGAAAATGAAGAAGTATGAAAATGAAGGAGAATGATATTAGAACTTAAGCAAAATAGAAGAAATAGATTAAAAATAAAGCAGGAAGAACTGAACGTGTTAAAAAAAAAATTAAAAAAAGAAGATCGAAAGAACGCGTCAAAAAGAAAACAAAAAAGAAAAACGAGTAAAAAAGAAAAAGAACGTGCGAAGATAAGATGTGAAGGACGTGTCAAAAAAAAAGCAAAGAAAAAAAAGGAAAGAAAAAAGGAAAGAAAAAAGGAAAGAAAAAAAGGAAAGAAAAAACGGAATGAAAAAAGAAAAGAAAAAAAGGAAAGGAAAAAAGGAAAGAAAAAAAGAAAAAAGGAAAGAAAAAAGGAAAGAAAAAAGGAAAGAAAAAAGAAAGAAAAAGGAAAGAAAAAAGGAAAGAAAAAAGGAAAGAAAAAACAGAAAGAAAAAAGGAAAGAAAAAAAGGAAAGAAAAAGGAAAGAAAAAAGGAAAGAAAAAGAGGTAAGAAAAAAGAAAAGAAAAAAGGAAAGAAAAAAGGAAAGAAAAAAGAAATAAAGAAAAAGATAAAAAATGTACGTTGGAAGGAAAAGAAAATTGATGAAAAAATGCATGAAAAAAAAAAAGAATAAAATGTACATGCAATATAAAAGGAAGAAGAAGGTAGGAAAAAAAGAAGCATGTGTGAAGAAATTTTTTTTAAGCATTACGCCCCGAGCAAGGCGTGAAGCAACTAGGATGCAGGGGGTTGCAGAAGATTTGGAGCAAGAGCAGATAGGAGTGATAGAAGAAAGGATGAGGAGAAGGATAGTGGATAGATCAAGGTAACTGGAGATATCGATTGTCATTGCATTTGAATAGTTGGAGATTATAGCTCTCAGGGAAACAGTAATTGGGCAGGGTGTTCCACAGGCGAGAGGTGCGAGGTATGAAGCTATTGGAGTAGAAGAGACGGCTACATTTAAAAGTTTCAAAAGTGAAAGGGTGGGAGCGGGATGCCAGGCTCGTAGGACGCTTGAATTCATGGAGTCTGGGAACCAGTGAAAGCAGCTCAGCGGAGCAATAACCATAAAAAATGAAATGTGAAAAATAAAAAGAAAGAAATCCTGTGGAAAAAAATGACAAAATACGAATAAAAATTGAAGAAAATGAAATAAAGAACGCTAAAACGTAAAGAAAGAAAAAAAAACCCCTAAAAAACGTGTTAAAAAACGAAAAAGAATTAGGTACTCATATTTAAAATAGACGCCCCATTTTTATTTTTATATTAAACAGGTTTATCGGGCTACGCATTCAAGAAATCATAACTAAAATGGTGCACTTTCTCGAATGCGGAGGACGACAGACGTGATGTTCACTGTTTAAAATAAAATGGCTCTTCTTTTTATAATACGAATACCTATTATAATAAACATGCCGGATATAAATAAAAAGTTAGTGCAAGAATAACGTAAGTAAAGCTGTGTAAATTTAATGCCTGTTTTCATCATTATCTTAAAGTAACTTGGTCACATCAACGTGGTGTAATGGCTCTCAAACTTGTCTCGGTAGATCAGTTACGGCTGATTAGTGAATTCGAAACTCACTGGGTTGTCGCAAACTTTCAGCTTTGTGCTACGTCTAAACAACGCTAAGAAAAATTTCTTTTTATTGTGACGCTACTTATTAAGAAGATAAAACATTTCCATGTCCACGTCAGGTGACAGCTTTCGTTGGAAAAAAAACTTTCCTTTCAAATTTGGAATTTGATTTATGGCTTGGAGCATCATTATTGTACAGGGTACCCCAACAAAAATATGGATATTTGGTACTGTTTATTTAATTGTGTGAATTTTTATTACAGTTATTTGAAACAAAAGTAAAAGATAAACATTTTTAAGTACAGCTGCAATATCGGTAAACTGGTTTTTAGTTATCGAACTAAAGAATTCTGGCAAAATTTCTTGGCATTTTTAAAACTTTTTTTCTTTCCATAATAGGTAAATCTAAAATTTCCTGTTTGTTTTTGTGGGTCACCCTTGTGAAGGGGGCCGACGTCAAAGCGTGATACTCGAGAAATGAACGGTGGATGCGATTTTTGGAAGTAAATATCGATCAGTTATTGCCCTTATGATTTTTGTAAGGCATTCACTATTATGAAAACACCCATTCTTATCGATTTCTTTTGCTTTTAATTCTCTTAAAGATTAAAATGCCCTTGTTGCTTCAAATTTATTATTAATTGTTTATAATAAAAAAACGGCGGGTGGGAATCATTTGCATTTGATATCACTATGGAAGATTTAAGAATATGATACTTAGTACATCCGAGAGGCTTTTCAGAAGACTTCAGACTTCTACAAGAGGGACATTTATTAATTTCAATGAAGTCAAAAACAGGATTCTTCACTTGCAGGTCGGAGACACTAAAAATCAAGCCGGTGCGGAAGTTTAAATATCTGGGAAGTGTTCTGACGGAGGAAAGTAAATGCGACGCTCAGACATATTGGGATGGCCAAGGACGCATTCCAAAATCTGGTCAGAGAATTGCGAGACAGAAGGATTTCTTTGGTAACAAAGAAAAGAGTATTGAACTGTTACGTGACATCTGTCCTCCGACGGCGAATGTTGAGTGGTCTCCTCAAAAATGAGGAAGAGACTCGAGGAAACTGAGGTATGGTTCTGCAGAAGGATGCTGCGGATATCATGGACGAGCGTTTGAGAAACGATGAGGTTTTGGAGAGGATTCAAACAAAGAGGAAGCTTAGTTAACATCAGCAAGAGGCAGATGGAATTTCTGGGACACGTAATGGGAAAGTTGGGCCTGGAAAATCTGATTCTCTCAGGTTTAACAGACGGACAAAAAGTGAGCGAGTCAAAATGACTTATTTCCCTTTATAGTCTACCAATAGAAGATTAACCAATCAGAAGCTGCAGAACACTGTATCCGTCGTATATAAAGGCGGCCATCTTTGTTTACCCTACCGGAAGGACCAGAGCCAACTTTTCAGGCGAACACGACAGAAGGAAGAACTACGCTCTGCTGCGATATCCACTGCGAACCTAAAGTACGCTTTCCTACTGTCTCCGAAATATTCACTGCCAACCTCTGGATTCTATACTCGAAGACGACCGTCATGAAAATGTCTAACACATACGACATACGTGACAGGCTGAAGCAAGCGGATGACAGAATGTGGTCTGGGGGAGGTGGCAGAGGAACGAAACTTATTGAGAGCTACAATGGATAGGAGGAAGTGGAGAGCTATGACTGCCTAAGTCCTGAAAGCATATAAAAAGAAATACTTCTATTGTACTTGTAGTCCTCCAGTCATTTCATGAGCGCCAAAGTCAACCAAAATGAAGACATATTCTCGATGTCTTCAAAACGTCTACGCCCTGAAGTTCTTCAGCTTGGCGGTGGGGCAACCAAAAGTCATAGAAAGCAAGGTCTGGATTGTAGAGAGGGTGACGGGTTTATTTTGATGCCCATCTCTGTCAGCACAAAACTTTATGACATAGTGAACTTCCAAATTGTCTTCACGTCAAGATTACATTATTGGAAATTATTATTTTATTAATAATCGGAACAACGAAAACCATTCTAAGACGACTAAATTTGTGAACAAACTGGCGTGCGATTAAAATATATAGTCGTAAGTGGAAGAGTTCACAATAGACTCATTAGATGGAGCACACCACATCAAACACACACACACACACACACACACACACACATATATATATATATATATATATATATATATATATATAACTAAACATATATATATATATATATATATATATATATATATATATATATATATATATATATATATATATTAAGGATATAGTGAAATGATAAAAGAGATTTTAAAAGGGCTGTGGTGAAAGAATTTATTACATGGAACCTTAAAGTGGTCTGTTTTCATTTAAATTATTTGCTCTGGATTTACATTGAGCTCTCTGGATTTTATCCTCCTCACGGATTACCTAGTTTTACATAAACTATATATATATATATATATATATATATATATATATATATTAAAAAAAAACAGATGGTTCTATTATAATAATTTATTTCACCAGAACCCTTTTAAAGGACGCCGGATCATCAGATAGCACTTCCAAAAATGAAAATATATATATATATATATATATATATATATATATATATATATATATATATATATATATATATAAACTTAGACCTATTTCTCTTAGTTTGGAGTTTGCGCGTTTTTCTTGTTTTTCTTGTAATCATAGGTTTTTATTTAAGCGCTCTGAAAATCTGTAGCCCCCAATTCTAACACGAAGGAGAAAAATACAACGAAAAAATCTCCAAAGACCCCCAACACCTGAATTACTTCCTGCACAATGTCAAACATAATGCCTACAATATCCCCAGAAGCGAAATACAAAAATCTACAAATAATAATATTTCCGAAGAGCATAGCAAAATTATACACATAATCCTACCTGCCAACAACATACAATTTCGTCTTATTTTTTTTTCATTCGAGCCTGAGGAAGTCAAAGAGGGCATTCCACTTTATCTCATAATCTTCATTTTTTTACAAAACCGGTCACTTTATCAGGAGGTCGGTTATATATATATATATATATATATATATATATATATATATATATATATATATATATATATATGTATATTTAGGCAGCAATCCTTCCTTTATGCATGTTTCATTAAAAACGACAGACAAGGTACTACGGTTGAGCTTTTTATTTAATTTTTCTTGTGTTCTGACAAGAGCGTTCCTAATAGTTATAAAAAAAATTAAGACGGCCAACCTTATCCTCAAAAATAACAACACACCAACGAAGTCAAAATTACAAAGAACGAACATTATCTATGAGTTCAAATGCCTTTTAAGGAACTGCGTTCCTCACCAAACCGGACTCATAAAAATAATTACATCGGCTACACAACCACATGTTTATCCAGACGTCTTTACATTACACCTATCTGATCACAGTTCCATCAGAACACATTTAAACACACACTCAGATTTACCCGACACTATTAGGAACATACTAGTAGAAAACACAAATATATTAACCGCATCCACTTGCAAAAAAAAGACTAAAAATAATGGAAGCTCTAATAATAAAAATAAAAAGCCAACTCTTAACAATATCAACTATGAACAAAGCCACAATGTGCTAACCGTATTCGGAAACTAAAACATCACTACCACACACTGAACATACACAGAACACACACACTCTACTAAGCTGATAATTGAATCATCCTTGATAATGGCTAAAGGTATAGCCGAAAGCGCTCGGAAACACAGAACATTCGGACAGTTCTTACACACTCTTTGTCCAGATATGAAAGCTCTTGTCAGAACACAAGAAAAATTAATTAAAAAGCTCAACCGTAGTACCTTGTCTGTCGTTTTTAATGAAACATGTATATATATATATATATATATATATATATATATATATATATATATATATATATATACACACACATATATATATATATATATAAATATATATATATATATAAATATATATATATATATATATATATATATATATATATATACGCGCGTGTGTGTGTACATATGTAAGGAACATTTGACCTGAAAGATTGCGTTGAATCATGACTGGTGACTTCAATTCCCAC